ATGAGGTGGACGATCATACTGATGATGATCATTATTGTGATGGTGATGCGGATTACGATGATGATGACGATGATGATGTTGACGATAGCGATGATGATGATGATGATGCTGCTGCTGATGATGATGATGATGATGATGCTGATGATGATGATGATGATGATGATGATGACGATGACGATGACGATGATGATGCTGATGACGATTATGCTGCTGACGACGAGGATATTGTAGATGATCCTGCTGCTGATGATGATGGTGATGATTCGTGTGATGATGATAGTGATAGTGCTGATGATGGTAACCACGATAGCGAGGATGATGAGGATGATGCTGATGATGGTGACGATGGTGAGGATGACGACGATGATAATGATGATGAAGAGGAGGAGGATGACGATGATGATGACACTGACGATGATCACGATGATGACGATGATGATAATACTGATGATGATGATGATGATGATGATGGTGGTGATGATGATGATGACGATGATGATGATGCTGATGCTGATGATGATGATGATGATGATGTTCATGGACGACGATGGTGATGCTGATGAAGGTGATGATGCTGATGACGATGATGATGCTGCCTCTGATGCTGGTTACGATTATGATGATGGTGGTGGTGGTGATTATGCTGATGGTGATGATGCTGATGATACTGATAACTATGATGGTTACGATGTCGATGCTGATGCTAATGCTGCTGCTGATTATGATGCTGATGCTGATGCTGATGCTGCTGATGATGATGGTGATGCTGATGATTGTGAGGGCGATGATGATACGGATGCTCATGCTGATATTGACGATGAGGATGACGATGATGATGAAACTGATGCTGCTGGTAATGATACTGATGATGCTGATGATGAGGCTGATGATGATGCTGATGATGCTGATGATGCTGCTGATGATACTGGTGCCGATTTTGAGGTTGATGACGGTGACGACGCCGACAGTGACGGTACTGATGGTGATGATGATGAGGATGCTGATGATGACGATGATGATGATGATGATGATGATGATGATGATGATGTTGATGATACTGATGCTGATGCTGCTGACGATGCTGATGAGGATGATGCGGATGATTATGATGCTGATGATGATGATTCTGATGATGATGACGCCGATGTTGGTGCTGATGCTGATGCTGATCATGATGATGATGATGATGATGATGATGGTGATGATGATGATTATGATGATGACGATGATGATGATGATGATGATGATGATGACGATGCTGATGATGATGATGATGATGATGATGATGATGACGATGATGATGATGATGATGATGATGGTGGTGGTGGTGGTGGTGGTGGGGTGGTGGTGATGATGATGATGATGATGATGATGATGATGATGCTGCTGCTGCTGATGATGATGATGATGATGATGATGCTGATGATGATGATGATGATGATGATGCTGATGATGATGATGATGATGATGATGATGACGATGATGATGATGATGCTGATGATGATGATGATGATAGCGATGATGATAGTGTTGATAATGATACTGATGCTGCTGATGATGATGTTGATGATGCTGAAGATGATGATGATGATGATGATGCTGATTATTGAGGGGGGAGGGGAGGAGGATGCCAGGCGCGGGGAGTGGGAGGATGTGTGGACGCGGGATGCTGCGGGTCTAAAGCGAGGGCCCAACACTACGTAACGTCGGGCAACAGTGTGCCCTGGTTTTCTGAATCGATTCCACACCCCATTCGGCGAATAGAGAACGGATGTGCGCGATGGGGGGTGATTGGCGGTAAGGTTATGATGTCAGATGTGGTGCCAGCGCTCCTTGATTGCCCCTCTCCCCTTTCTCCCCCCCCCTCCCCTTTCCCTACCCCTTCTCCCCCTGCCCTTCTCCCCTTTCCCTCCTACCCTTCTACTTCCCCCATCCCATTCCCTCTCCCCTCTCCCCTCTCCCCTCGCCTTTCCACTTCCCCCTCGATCCGCCTCCTCCCCCGTCCCTTCTCTTTCGCTCAACTCCGCTCCCTCTACAATTACTCAACATCCAGCATGGACCCCTAAGCGTGATCTCTTGCAATTTATGCGGTGCAATCTAGGTTGTGCAGTCAATATGCTGCAATGTATGTGGTGCAGTCCATGTCGTCTGATGCAATGTAATGCAAAGCAATGCAACGCAACGCAAATCAAGGAACAGTAACGCATTGCATTGCAAAGCGATGCCAAGCAGTCACGCAGTGCCAATCAATGCGAAGCAGTGCACAGCAATGCAAAGCAATGCAAAGCAATGCGCAGCAATGCAAAGCGATGCAAAACAACGCAAAGCAATGCAACGCAATAAGAAACAATGCGCAGCAATGCAAAGCAACGCAATGCGATCCAAAGCAAGGCAAAGTAATGCAACGCAGCGCAAGGCAGTACAAGGCACTGCACGGCATTGCAGCGCAGTGCAAAGCAAAGCAAAGCAACGCAAAGCAATGCAAGGCAAAGCCAAGCAATGCAGAGCAACGCAAGTCAATGCAAAGCATCGCTAACCATCGCGGCGCAAGTGGCGGCGACGGACGGCGGCGACGGGCGGCGACGGCGGCGACGCACGGCGGCGACGGGCGTCCACAAGCCGGCCAGGACGCGGCATCGGGGCCCAGCTACGGCGGCGACGGACGGCGGCGACGGGCGGCGATGGGCGGCTACAAGGTGGCCGGGGCGGCCGGCGGCGGCGAGGGACGACGGCGATGGGCGGCGAAGCTTTGGACCCCCCCCTAACCTCCCCTCACGGGGACAAATGAGCCAGGCGAAGGACCCAGCCATGTGCAGTTGTGGGTGCTGCACTTGTGAGTGTCGTGTTCGGTGGGGCTCCCAATGGGGTCGCGAAACGTGTGATGGGTGTGCCAAGGTGGGGTGGCAGCAGCATGCGAGCGCAGCCACTGGGGCCTTCGGTGGGGGTCCCTTTGGGGCCACGAAGCGTGTGAGGGGTGTGCCACGGTGGGGTGGCGGCGTGCGAACGCAGCCACCGGGGCCTTCGGAGGGGGTCCCTATGAGGCCTTGAAACGTGTGAGGGGTGTGCCAAGTTGGGGTGGCGACGGCATGTAAATACTGACGGCTTCGCACTACGCAATCGGAGACCGCGTGATTTTGCAGAGGGTCGTCTAGCGAATCTTGAAAGACTGGTCCCATGATGACCCCAAGAGCGCCCTCAAGACGGCCGAACATGGCGGTTTCGCTATGGACATCCTCACCACACTGAGAAGCTACCAGCATCGTCTTTTGCACAAGCGAGCGCTTCGCCTGAGACATGCTCCCAACACGGGGACGTTGGAGGATTCGCCGTGCGACGATGCTCCTGAAAAGTGAGTTTCTCGCTGCAGACATCCTTAGGGTAATGAGATTTTGAAGTAGCTCGAGAGTTCTCCACTTCTTCGAACGTGAGGCTCTCGCTGCAGACATCCTCAGGATGGAACTCCGCGGGAGGAGTCTCGGGGGACTGCGGGAGAGATCGCGAGAGCTCCTGGCGGGGGCAGGTTGGGAGCACCATGCCTCTCGGAGGAGGGCCAGTCGAGACAACGGCGGCCCCCCCCTGGCGTTGTTCGTCCTTCTTGGGCCTCCAGGGGGCTCCTCGCCGCCACGAGTGGATCCGCTTCGAAGGACGCACGGGTCAGGACGGAGGCAGGGAGGGGCCTAGGGAGCAGAATTTGTTCAGCGGACTTGGGCTGGGCGGGAGAGCCGCCGTTGTCTCAGTGGGCCCTCCGCCGAGCCTCCCCAGAATGTGTGCGCGTCCACCCCGGGCTTTTTGCCCGCTCTCAGGCTCGCGAACGATGTCTCGCGCCCCGTCTCCGAGGTCCCCCCCCCCCGATCCCCAGATCGGGCCGTGTACAAAAGAGGGGGGACTCGGGGGTGCACAACCAGGGGGCCATTCGGACGCACCCTTGTCGAGGATGGACCCCCCGATCCGAGCTGGGCCCCAAGTTGCTGGTCCAGTCGAAGGCCCACCACCGTCGGGGCAAAGGGTCTTCATGCCCCCCCTTCCTGCTCGGTCGACGGCGACCTGGAGCCAAGACGCGGTCAAAGCATGGCGTGGGGATGCACGGCACGCGAGCAAGGCACGAAGGGAAGAGGAGAGAGACCCTAAACCCTAAACCTTAAATCCCAAACCCCAAACCCTAAACCCAAACCCTAAACCCTGAACCCAAACCCTAAACCTTAAACCCCAAACCCTAAACCTTAAACCCCAAACCCTAAACCCCAGACCCTAAACCCTGAACCCAAACCCTAAACCCAAACCCTAAACCTTAAACCCCAAACCCTAAACCCAAACCCTAAACCCTGAAGCCGAGAGGCGCGGGGGAGCGGAGGCCGCACCCAGAGCGTGCCGTGCTCGTGCGGGTGCCGGGAGCGCACGACGAGGTGCAGGGCGTGCGCGGAGATCACCGAGCGCGGTCCACGACCCGCAGGGTGCCTGCTCGCTGGCGCCCGAAGAGGGACGTGCCTTCCTCAGCGGAGTGGATCGTGCATCCCCCGCGGCGGGTCCAGGCCACTCGCTCGCAGTCACTTTGCTTGTAGTGGAAGGCGCTGGTTCAAGAGAGGTGGATGGCCATGCCCCCTGTCACAAGCGCAATGGGGTCCTTCCACGCCTTCGCGTGCACAAGGCACGGTGGCGGGCATTCCAGCAAGTTCCACTCTGTGGGGCGCTCGGGCCCTCAGCCGTGAGTCCACCCAGTGTCCGGAGGAGACCGTTTCGCGAGGCGTTCCTTGTTTGACAAACAAGAAACGCCTCGCGAAACGATTTCCATGACGCCGAGTTAAATAGGGTAAAACCATCGCCCTGGGCATACTCAAGAAGGAGAAAGTTGTTGGTCGCCTGAGCTAATTGGCAGGGCGCATCGCCACCAGCGCAATGGGGCGCTCCTGCCGCTACTCCTGCGGGTCGCATGCCACGGCTCCTGGACCCTGGTGGCACGGGCTCTCCGCCCCCTCGCGTGCTCCTGGTCCGCGCCTGCCCAG